GTGTCACAGACAGGACTGGCCGCCTGGACCTTCCCAGGGGGTAAGTCTCAGAGGCCAGATGACAGGATTTGCGGTAATGGCCTTGCGTGCCCGAGCCTGCAGTGGGCCTCGGCCCCTCCCATCCCGCAGCCCTAGGAGGCTGTGAGCGGCGCGACCCCCACTCACGGCTTCTCTGGCATCGCTCGCTAGCAGGTCGCTCACGGAGGGCGTGGATCATAGAGGGCGGGGCTCAAGCCTCACCCCCTTTCGTGGGGCTGTGCTCTACAGCGTGGCTCGCTCCCTCACTGGAGATTCCCGGGGGCCTGTGTGGCACAATCAGCATGTCCTGGACGCATGAGAGGTGAGTCCCGGTGACCATCCCCCAGGGGGGCCTCGGGCCCACACAACAACCCTTTGTTGAGAAAGGGAGACGCCTTGCCTTCTACCCTTGTGCTTAACTGGTTGGGGGGGGGGGTCCCGGTGACCATCCCCCAGGGGGGCCTCGGGCCCACACAAACCCTTTGTTGAGAAAGGGAGACGCCTTGTGCCTTCTACTCGTGCGTAAGGGGGGGGGGGGGGGGGGCGGGGACGGGGGGGGGGGAGACGACTTCAAACCCTAGCCTGGCACTACCCTTGATTTCTCATGAGATCAGAGAGCGGCGCTCAGGGACAGTTACGCGCTGTTTGCGTTATTGTGATCGAAAGCCACTTCAACTCCCCAGATCTTCAATGGCCTCTGAGATACAACAAAATAAAGACACAGAGGAAGGAATCAGAAAGATAAGAATAATTTTAAAAGCCCAGGCACGGGGCACCTGGCCGGTCAGTACTAGACCATGCAGCTCTCGTCTCTGGGTTGTGAGTTCCAGCCCCACGCTGGGCGCAAAGACGTTCCTTTTAAAAAAAAAACACAAAAAACAAAAAACAAGGCCCCAGGCCATTTTGAGAAAGAACTGCAGAAGTCGGGGCGCCTGGGTGGCTGGCCTCAGTGTCCGACTTTGCCTCGGGCCATGATCTCGGGGTTCCTGAGTCGAGCCCCACGTCGGGCTCTGTGCTGACAGCTCGGAGCCTGCAGCTGCTCCTGGCCCTGTGTCTTCCTCCCTTCCTGCTCCTCCCCTGCCGGTGCTCTGCCTCTCTCGGTCTCTCTGTCAGAAAGAAAAGTGAACTGTGGGAGTAAGAAAACATATTCTTGAAAGAAATCCTCGAACAGATGGATCAAACCACCACGGATGCCACCGAGGGAAGAATTAGTGACCTGGAAGAGGGCGCCTCAGAAGTCCCCTCCTGCCCCGTTTCCCCGCGTGGTGGACAGCGTGGCTCCCGCCTTCCCTGAGACGTTGCGGCAGCCCCGGCTCAGCGAGCCCGGCTCTGCCCCTTCAAGGCCCCTCACCCTGGCGTCTGGGCCTCTGCTGACACCAACCTCTTCCCCTCTGCCCCTCGCTGTAGGGACGGCAGCTGCCTCCTGTGCTGTTTCTTCAGCCCTCCGGCCCCGAGCAGCCAACTGCTGTGTTCGCTTGCGTCCGGTGAGAAGCGGGGTCTGTTTCTTTCCCCGGCCTCCCGCCCGGCTGCTGCGGAATGGGGCCCGGGCCGGTCTCCGAAGCCGCCGCCGCCGCCCTGTACTGTCACGGCAGCCTTGGCTCTACGGACCGCGGTGTGCGGATGCCCACGCGCGCAGAGAAGACAATGGCACCTTACGTTCCTTACCTCTCAGCTCCTGGCACAGTAGGACAAGCAGACCCCCCCCCCCCGCCCCCAGCCCTAAAAGTCCTCTTCCTTCCCTACCTGCAAGGCCCGCCGCGGTGAAAATCTAACAGCAGGGCCGCAGGCGGGTACGGAATCCCAAGGGCCACTGAACTCCCAGCCTCTCTGCGCTTCTCGTGGGAAAGGTGTGGCCGTGGCTGGAGGAGTGTGGCCCTGACACCCGGAACCGGGACTTGCGCTCGGCCTCAGTTGAAGCTGGGAATCGCGATGCCCGCAGTCCCTCTGAGTCCCGCGCCCCGTGGGAGCAGAGGCATTTCCTGAGGGTGACGGCAGGGTTCCCGTCTGCCCGCAGTTCCCCTTGTGAACCCCCTGCTTCCTACTTTGAGCGTCCTGTAACTCTGCTCTTTGTCGTCCCCACCAAACACAGAATGATTTGGCATCATTTCAGGATTCCTAAGTTCCAGGCCACTGCTTCCGCGATCCCGATCATGACTGGCACGGTAGCACCGGAAGGAGCTTGAAGGAACCTGGCTTATGTTTGGTGGCAAGGCCACAGCTGCGCAGGCTTGGCTGTGGGCGGGCTGCTCTGGGCCGGGAACCCGGCTCCCAGCCGCGCCTGCTTCAGGGTCGAGGGCCGAGGAACACTGTGTCCTATCACTTTCCCTCCGCTTTGGTAGTGCAGGAGGGCCTGTGCCGCACTTTTCTGCCACCACCCTACCTGCACCTCCAGCCACCTCGACCTTCCACCTTCCCCAAACTTCCCCTGCCCCTTCAGGGCCGTCACCCCCCCACCCCCACCCCCAGTGTCCCTTTCTCTCTAGGCATTCCCCTGTCCATTGCTGCTCAGGCCGCACTTAAGTGCAGTGCCCATCTCCTAATGATCCCTGGGGACCTGGGCAGTTGCCGACCCTTGTCAGCGTGAGGGTTCCAGCCTAGCACCCTAAGACGCTCGCCGCTACGGGCGTTGCCGGCCTGGCGCAGGCGACGCTGATTGGCTGGAGCGCAATGAGTGACGGGACAAAACCCAATAACGTGGCCCGGGCCAGATCCGCTGTGTTCAGCAGGGAAGGGGCGAAGGGCCGGCCTGCCGGGCGGGCAGGGTGGATGTGAGGCGGTGTCAAATGGTGGGTACCGAGAATCCCAGTGTGGCACAGGCGGTTTGGAAGTGGGTGTGAGCAGCCAGGGAAGCAGAGGAGGAGAGCGCTGGCGGGGTGGGGGGTGGGCAGGTGGGGCCTACTCGCTATGTAGCTATGTAGCCGAGACGGGGACAATGCCAGTGAGGCCCCGAAGGGACTGGGGAGTAGAAACGTGCCAGGAAGAGAGGCCCTCAATTGGGGAATTTCGATGGCACTTCCAAAATCCTGGCCTCAGCCCTATTAGATATTGCCACCATCATCAGCACAGTCATCCCCTTTTACAGATTAAACGAGGGAAAAAGGGTTATTGCCACCTCCCACCCCACAACATTCTGCCGTATTTCACCAACTACACCGTTTGACAATGTGCTCCCCCCATCACCTTGGCTTTGTAGTCAGGAGGTACAGCTGAGCGAACAGGGCCACTAGGCCCCTCCCTTCTTCCTGTGGTCGTGGCTCCTCTCGGCCCCCATTACAAAATCAGTCCTACCCGTTTTGCCTCACACCCGTGGGGGTCCTAACTGAGGCTGTTGGAACGGTACTTTGGTCATGGATCATCCTTGTTGCTTTATTGTTTTTTAATTATCTTATTTTTAAAATGTAGATTGGCTTTTTTTTACATTTAAGAAAGATTTTAATGTTTTATTTCTGAGAGAGGGTCAGAGAGAGAGATACAGAATCTGAAGCAGGCTCCAGGCTCAGCACAGAGCCTGACACGGGGCTCAAACCCACAAACCATGAGATCATGATCTGAGCCAAAGTCGGACGCTTAATCAACTGAGCCACCCGGGCGCCCTGTTGCCGCCTTATTTTTGACGTCCATCTCATTGGATGGATACAAGCAGGTGTGGTGCCCCCGTATGGCCACACATCCTGGCTGTATTCACAACTGCTTTCTGCAAGAGGATGCGGTGCTTTATAGAGGTCATGGCTTCTTTCACTCCTCACAAACGGTTTACACACACACACACACACACACGGGCGCACACACACTAAAATAGGTGAACGGAAATCACAGGACCCTGCAAACTCCACTCCCAGGTTTATACACACCCAAGAGAAGTGAAAATACACATCTGCAAACCTGAGTGGAAACGTCTGCAGGTTTACAAGAGACAAACCGCGGAAGCAACCCCAATGTCAACTGACGAACGGATAAAATGTGGTCTATACACAGGATGGAGTATGCGGGCATAAAAAGGAATGGAGTCTTGGCACATGCTGCCACATGGGTGAACCTCAAATGCGTTACACTGAACCAAAGCAGCCAGACCTCAAAAGGCCACATACCGTATTGACTGCAGTCCTAGGAAATGTCCCGAAGAGGCAAATCCACAGAAACCAAAAATACAGGAGTGGCTGCCAGGCGCTGGAAGGGGAATGGAGTGACTGCTAAGGCGGGGGCGGAGGTCAGGCTTTCTTTTTGGAGTGATGCAGAGGTCCTAAACCTGAGCAGGGTGACGGTCGCAAAACTCGGCGAGTATACTAAAACCCACCGAACTGTAGGGTCTAAAAGGGTGAACCGTATGGAGTGGGAGATGGTTAAGTAGATGGTTATTTGTATTTTCTAAACTTTCTACAGTGACCCTTTATCAACTTTTACCAAAAAATCCAGTTTGAGATTTTTAATATTTAGGTTTTTGTACCTTCTATCAACTGGCAACTGTTTTTACAAAAAAACACATTTTTGAAATCTCATGAAACAAATACAGCAATGGCCATGCTAATGTTACAGGCCAGGAAACCGGGTCAGTGATTTAAAAGGGTAGGAGGCGGCGGTGGCCCCCAGCAGGACTCCAAGTGCTAGGCCCGTTCTGGAGTCTGCCACACATTCTAGAACAGAGGCCCCTGACCAGCACTTAATGAGGGCACTGCAACTTGGAGCCACATCAGACACTTCCGGCCAACTTTAGTGCTCCAGTTTGGACCAATCTTTAAGTTATGTGGCTGTTCTCGTCCCTGTATACCAGCCACCTGATTCCCATGCTCCCAGCTGAAGGGCGGGCTCAGCTCTGGCCCTACAGCGCCCTCTAGAGGCACACCTCCCAGCCAATACCCTTGGGGGAGGGGGGAGGTTCTGGCGGTCGGGCGCCTGGCTCCCTCCCCTGGCTGAGGTAAAATTCTAATTAGGGAGTTTCTATCCAAGAGACACCACATAACAAAGCATAAATGGAATCAAGCAGCTGCTTTTTAAAATGCTTTATTAACATTAACCAGTATTTGCAGAAGAATACAGCTGAGCCATCAGGCTTGGCCTGGGCATTGGACAGATGAGACGTTTCTGAGACCGGACAAAGGACTGCAGTGTGGAGACCAGAACTAGTTGTGTCTTCTTTTCACAGAAATCATCCCTGCGAGTAGCACGGGACACCCTAGAGCTCTCGCTGCTGCTCCATGGCCCCTGCGCCCGGCCGTAGGGGGGAGATGGAGGCAAACACCCGAGAAAATTCCAGGGCAGCTGCAGTCACACTGGACCCAGGAAGCTGCAGGTAGGATGGCAGCATGCAAACTCTCGAACTGGGACAGTGGCATGGGGCAGGGTGCTATAGTGTCACAACACTGAGCGATTGCAAGGCATGGTTCAATCTGCCTGCCTGTCTTTACTTCCACACGCGTGTACAAAATTTACCCTAGCTGATCCTCAATCCGGTTACATGTGGTCTTGTCAGAAAACTTAGCATTAGGTGGTGGTTTCATCAGCTCTTCTGTTATTTCTAACCTTATAACAATAACACACTATAATGACTTATGAAAGGTGAGAGTTACACTCGTATTATAGCTTAAGAAGATAGTTAACTAGCTTTGCTTTTAAAAACAAGTACAACAGTATAGATTTAAGTGACAGTTTGTAAGAAAGTGTGAATGTGAGATGAGAAGCTAGTCTTCTAGTTCCGAAGTCGGCAGCTAGTTTAGTAACATACGTTTCACGGCCCCTACGATGTGTGTCGCGTCGACTCCAAACACATCGAGCAGCTCACTGGGCTTCCCACCCCGAGGTATTCCCCGCACTGCCAGCTGATGGACCGAGATGTCAGGATCCATGGAGACAGCTGCAGCGACGGTCTCCCCAATGCCACCTGGGGAAACAAGGGACATGAGGCTCTGTTCTGGAAGCAGCTAGTCAGCCTTAAAGCCCCCAAGTATAGGGGCCTTTGAATGTGCCGGTTCCTAGGGGAAAACATTCTTCAGTAGCCACTGATCCAGGTAAACAGTCACCCTCTGACTGGCCATGAGAGTCTCACTCAAAACTGGGCCTCCACCCGCTCCCAGCCCTATGAGAGCAGGAGCTCAACTGGGGCTCCATGGATGATGCAGGGCTGCGCAAGCTCAGATTTTTTTTTTTTTTAAATTTTTAATGTTTTATTTGCGA